TGAAATACGGAGCTTTTGCTAACTTCTTTGAGGAGCTAGCCGATCCGCATCAGGTTGATGGCTTGTCACAGAACTTTCCCATCGGTAAATGCTGGCAACAGAATACGCTTTTGACACCCGATGCAGATGCTTTTAATTTCTTTCGTGGCAATCCGGCTGCATACAACCAAGTTGATGAAGCCAACAACGGCCTAATTTTGATGGATAGTTACGGTTCCATTTCGCCTTTACTCCAGGGTCCGGAATCAGCCTTTGCTTATGTGAGTAGTTAAAATTTTTTAAGCAGTTTAAATTGAACTTGATACAGCATTTTATTGAGCGTTATGTTGATCTTTATGTTCGGTTCGTGATAATTTCCTGCCTCACCTTTTGGGTTTTGCAATTTTGGTAGCTGGTCTCAAGCCGTTCGTCACCATAATTTTGTTGTAATGATTCATCAGTATAACTCAAGTTCGTATTTTTCGGTTCGCAGTAAGATAATAAGCCTTGTTACCTCTCATGTGATATGTGCACATGCGAATGCCTTTTTACCTCGGTTTTCTGAAGAATTTATCACACAATGACCGCAACAGGAGCTCTTGCGATACACTGGTTTCCGCAGCTATTGTTCTCGTCTCATTGCACTTCAAACTTCACCTGCTTGCTTGCACATATATGGTACAATTTGCAAGATAGCTGAAGCTTGTTGCCATTTAACCGCTGTCTTCAGTTTTAAGTGTCGGGAAGGAACATACTGAAGGCACCAGAGCCTCCCACCACCTTCAGCTTAAGTTGTCGAAGTCCACGGCATCGCGCACAAGTGTCATTTATGCTCTGTAATGTCGAAGTTTTGGCGTCCTTTCCCCATTGAGCAGCAAGAGCCAATAACTTAGCCTTCGTTCTCTTTGGCCATTTCGTACTGCACAAGCATTTTAAGTAGCATAACGCCTTGAAAATGTCTCTGGTTACGTCGCCAGATCGAGCAAAAGGATGCGATTGTGTATTACTTTATTCATGCTGCTCTACTGCTGTAAACTATGACCCCGGAACGCTGCGCACAACACGGGGTATTTGAAAAAAGAGTTACTTACAGAGGTTATTGCAGTTTTGGTTTTTAAGTCACGTCTCCAACTTCAGCTTCACAGCCACGCACAGACAGCTTCTGATCACAATGAAACCAGTGTCAGATGACCCGTTGATTTACTATCGAGAAGTTTGTATGATACAATATTTTCAAATACCCGTACAAATTGATAATGCATCTGTCTTAATCAAATGGGAAACGTCACGCAGGTACCCAGACAGAATGCTAGGCCAGGTCAGGTCAAAATGCCAGCTGTTAAAAACTTGGTACTCAGTTGTACTGGGTACGTCTTTGATTATGCCTACTCAAGACGGTTTCGATTTTTACTCCAAACGTGAAAGTCGGTAACCACGGAACTTTAAACCTTGCTCCATTTCCCATCAGCGGCAAGAATCACACCGGAGGTCGAGAACCACTTCCATATATTCACAGACTGTATCGAGTCAGGTTTTAGTTGACTTTATGTCTCCAATAACGCAGTGATTAAAGGACTGTAGTGTTCAACCCACACGACGGTCAACGAAGAACATACCTGAACCACCTCAGTCGTTTCTCCTGGTTGATTGGAGATATTACGGCGTTGGGATAGTCAGTAAGGACGGTGTCATCCGAAATGAAGTGGAGTAATCCGTAGGGAAAATGTCAGTCTCAGTCAGTGCCTACACGCAAATCGCAGCCCCAGGAAAGGAATGGTCATACTCGCGGATCTCCGTAGCAATTAGGATATCACAGTAGATTTATCAATGTCCCTAAGGCCTTACAGAAGCCTGTGAACTGCATATATTTAAACGACGCATTGTTCCTATTCTTCATTTAACGACAGTTTTGCCCACGCTAGTTAATCGCAAGGTATGCTTCAACTCGATAGTACGGCGACTTCCGTTGTGTTGGTCAACAGACAGACTGATTTGGCGTCCTCATTCACCCTGACACCACTGTATTCTGCAGGCCAAGAAATCAGCCAACACCGTCTTGTTGTTGACTGAATAGTCCAGTTCAGGCAATCAATGTCTTTGTACACATCTGTCGATGAAATGAAAGGAAACAGACTATGGATACCTCTTATGAAAATGCCCATCAATTTTAGTAAACGGCTTTCCACAGAAGCGCAGACGCTAATAGGCAGCAGCAGATCTTAATTACAAAGTGGCCATGTACCCTCCACAGCGAACACTGCGACTACACCGAGAATTCAACCGAAGATTTGCTGTTGTCAGTCTTAAACGGACGAATGGTAATGGTGGTGGTTGGAGGAGGGGGATAAAGAGAGATAGGTCGTCTTCGACGGGCGCAACCTTGATCGTTTTATATAAATGCTGCTTTAAAATGGAAACAAAATATTTAATGAGGTTTTCATATTGGAAAGTGAAGTCATACATTGCAGAACGATGCCTTTCTTTCAGCAAACTGCGTTATTTTGTCAAGGAAACGTATCTGCGTAGTTAGATGTGTTCTTGAGCTATTTTAATTTTTCTTCATTAATTCGCATTCTGCAGTCAATCCATTACATATGCGCTCCTCACTTTAGGTGTTACAAGGGTAGGCCGGTATTTGATAATTCACAGAAGGCTGTCTTTAGACCTGAGGAAAAACGCGGATTCCTGTTTGACTTCAAACCAAGTTTTTGTCTGTTGGTTTGGTTTCATAGGTTAGAAAACTATATGCGTTGAATTCAATTTTCACGCCCCTCTAGAGAATCCTGTGTAACTTATGGTGTAAATGTAGCCAACACCGAGACATCACCGCCTAATCACGCCGTTGTCTGATTCCCCGAGGAAGACATCGACAAGAAGAGCGGAAAAGCAGAAGTCCTTTAGCGTTAGTAGTACAGCAGATTTAAGGTAACAAACGCATGTACAGCCATGTCCATCGGACCAATCAGATACTATCCTGGCGTGAGTAGCGATACGATTGGCTTGCGACTCAACGGCGGGCTGCATCTTTAAATTTTAAATTATCGATTGATTGTTTGCCAGTCTGTGTTCGCCGCATGTAGGCCGATCGATAACCTGCCGTGAACG